CACGAAGAAATGCCTATTCTGAAGTCAAGTGTACCACGAGAAGGAACGGCATCTCCGATATCAGAAGCCTACTCACATGGTGGGCCGCAGCGCTCGACAGTCTCGCTGGAAGAAGCCGCGTCAACCACTCGCCCCGGAACAGTCGCCTCACCAGTCGCCGGACCGATCGCCTCAACTTTTTGGATTGCCTCAACCTGTGGATCGCCTCGACTTGTGGAGACATCCAGTCGCCCTGCTGCCGCCGTTAGAGCCGATACCCACGCACCATCATATAGTTGGTTTTGTTTATTAATAAATTCTTTTAGCGAGAGGGGTAGTCCGTAGGTTCTAAACACTCGGAGAACCACATCATACACTTTCATACGAGCTGCCACTCCTTTTTGTTCAACACATCAGAGCTCAGTTTCTCTAAATGCTTAAGATTTTGGTTTATTTAGACGTGTTATCGACGAACTGAAGAGAATCATAGAAGAGCATAACATTGTTTTCGTATCTTCCGCGGGCAATAATGGTCCAGCTCTTTCGACCGTCGGCTCGCCAGGTGGTACAACTTCTGGAGTTCTTGGTATATATTTCATTGATTTCTTGGCTGTTTCATCTAGCTTGTTTTTTCTGTTCTCTCTCTTCTGTACAACTACATGGTTTGTCAGGAATTGCTGCCCGAATCTCCCCTAAACAAGCAGCCACTCTTTATGGTGTCTTCAGAGACGTGACGTCTTCGCTGTACCCGTGGAGCTCTCGTGGCCCTTCGTTCGTTTTTACCTTTTGGTTGTGAAAGTTCGTATTCATGTGAAGGATTGAGATTGGGTTGCATTTCCAGGATCGACGGAGCACTGGGTGTGTCGCTGTATGCTCCAGGAGCTGCCATCGCCGGCGTGCCCCGGTATACCTCGTAAATCAGCGGAAATGATGAATGGAACCAGTATGAGCTCTCCGAACACAACGGGAGCGATAGGTACCTTATGAGTCAAAACTTCATCGTGACAAGTCTTCTCATCTAGAAACCTCGGAATTTCCTTTACTGTTTGTGTTGTTGTGCTTGTGTCAAGAGGTCGTTAGCTGGAAGAATTTTTTCTGATCAACGTTTCGACTGTCATAATATTGTGACTGTGTTGAAGTTACAAGGCTGCACTAAAACTGGTGAGGACAGCAACTTCATTCGCTTCTGATATGCTGACTGAGTATCAGGCTCCGCTAAACTTTCGTGTTTTGGAGGGGGGATGGGGGAGGGTGTATTTGAGTTCTGGTGAAGGTAAGAGGTTGGAAGGGGAGTCATATGTTTGGAAGTTGAGGGGATCATGGTGTCGAGAGAAGTTGTTCTAGCGAAGTTGTGACGATTTTGAAGGAACTTTATCAAGAAGCATGAAAGTGGATTCGCCGCTACACTAGACATATTTATCCCCTCTCCTGGCTCGACGGCCGTTTTGAAGGGCAAAGTGGGCGGAGTTGAACCTGTCGACTTCATCAAGAATCGAGATGGAGAACCAAGTACTGTAGGAAGAGCCAAGATCCAATTTTCGGAATTGGAACAACGGACGGTTGACTTGCCTACGCTTTGAGCCACGTTTAGGGCTTTGAAAACGACGGTCACAATGAATTCTTCCGCCTAATGACTTTATTGCAGAGGAATAAGTGGTAGCACAAACAGTTTCCCGATGCATTTCTACCTTTAATTCTTTTCCAGCTTGCATGCTCTCCAAACTGCGCTCTGAAAATATTCAGTGGACACCATACAGAGTTCGCCTCGCGTTGGAGAACACTGCTGCCGGAAACGCGAACGAAGAAGCCTTTGGTGGAGGTTACGGTCTAGTCCAGGTTAGAAGTTCTTTTATCATCCAACAGAATCGATGTAACTTTCTGTATAAAGGTGCTTAACGGCTACGAATATATGCGCTCTTACAAAGATGTTTTGCCACCCCTCTTCATGACTGATATCGACGTTCGTGTAAAGCAGTCTAATCGAAGCATGAGAGGTAGTTTTGAAGTTCAGTAGCCGTCTAGTATACGACTGATAGTGAATTCATTCAGGCATCTACATCCGTGAATTGCTTGAGTCACAGAACCTCCAGGAGTATACAGTTTCTATCCAACCTAAATTCAAAGAATTTTCGGGTTAGTTACAGAGTATTTCAGACATCATATTATAAGTTGAGATGAAGTCTTTAATTCCAGACAATATCGGCAAGTCTGATCTCGCCATGAAAATTTCACTGCAATCTGAAGGCGAATTCTTGGAGTTTCCTCGTACCTTTTTGTTAACTGCTGGAGAAGGTCATTTTGCCGTGAAAGTCGATCCAACGGTTCTTTCGCGTGGAGAATTTGCCTACACTGAGGTGCGTATTTTTTCAAACTACTATTCAAGATTTTTGTTCTGAAAAGATCGATCTTTGTGGTTTCAAATATGAAATACATTCCACTAATTTGCTGGATTTCCCAGAAAATTCATTTGTGATTGGCATGATAGGTATTAAGTGTGATAGTACTGCAGTGGTGGTTCTCAGGTTTTCCATTAACCTTGGATTTTTAACACATTGACGACAACGCGAGTTTTGGCTTTTTGTGCCACGTGGGACCGCGGCGATTTTGCGGGCGTACCTCCCCTGCAGGTCGTCAAGCAGATTTGAGTGAGAGAAGAGAATCAGTAAATTCGAATGAGCGCAACGTAATCAGGGGTACAGTAGTGAAATTCCGATCGAAAGACATGGAATAACAGTGAAAAGCGAAATTGTTAAGAACTAGCTGCAATGGAACCTCAAAAGCAATCCTTACGTTGATTATTTCAATCAAAACACACATATTGTCATCCCTAAGGTTCCTTATCTACTTCTACTACTATTTAAATCTTCACCATTTCATAAAAAGAAAAAGTAAACGAAAAATTATTGAAATGAAGATTTCGTATGGTTCAGAAATCCTCCTCTAAATTAAAGTATACGTGACCATTCTAAGGGCCACTATGTTTGTAGCTACGTCAAGGTCTCTTCCATGGAATGAATACAAGAAACTTCTAAAAGAATCAGGCGTGCGCGAAAAAAATGAGTGTAATGGGTGCGGGGGATATATATCCCGCACGGTCCGACATGGCCTGCAATGCGCGGGATATATATCCCCCGCGTTGTCGTCAATGTGTTAAACAGTAAAAGTGCTGCGTCTGCACATCTTAACCCTTTCGACGCGTGGCGAGTGCAATTGCCTTTAAATTCAAGGCTATGCATTTACCGGTGCAACAGCATATTTCTACTATCCACTACTATAGGCTACCTCAGAGAACCCTCCCCTATATAATTATACTTTGAACCCGAAACTTTGTGTGTTGTTATTAGCATTACGAAATTCCTGTAGAGGTGCACAATGAATCGGCGCTGTTCTCAGCAAGCCGCTAGGGAAGTGGCAATCACGTCTTTGAATACTTGTCATATATTTCATTTTTTTTCTATCAAACACGTTAGATGTAATGTTGTGCCAAGATCATTATTTTTTCAAAAATCTAAGAAAAATTTGGAAAATAGTTTTCGACCTAGCTAAAAAAACAAAGGCTACTGCTAAATTTTCAAAAGCTTCTAGCTCTCACTACTGTTGACGACAGCGCAGGACACATACGTCCCGCACTTTGCAGGCCATGACGGACAACGCGGGACGTATGTGTCCTGCACCCAATGCATTCATTTTTTCCTCGCACACGTGATTCATTTTTAGGCTTCTTGCATTCATTCCATAGAGAAAACCTTAGCGTAGATACAAACATAGTCGCTCTTAGAATGGTCACGTGTGCTTCAAATTAGGGGAGGTCTTTTGAACCGAACGAAGTCGTCAAGTTCTAGTTGATTTCTAGTTTACATTTCCTTCTCATGAATGTGAATTCAAAGGGTAGTATAAGTCAATACGGAACCTCAAGGATGGCAAGATATGTGTTTTGATTGCAACAATCGATGCAAAATTGCTTTTGACGTTATTTGCAGCTGATTCTAACAAAATTTGCTTCTTCACTACTTTCCCATCCATATTTCGATCAAAATTTCACTACTGTATCTCTGGGGCGCTTCTACGCACTGAAAAATACTAATCTAACTTTGTATCAATCATGTCTTATGCATTTAGCACGCAAAATTCGCCTGAAGACCTGAGGCGGCAGCACTCGCAAAATCGCGCCGGTCCCACGCGGCCAAAAGAGCGAAAGCCCGCGTTGCCTGTCAAACGGTTAACATTGTGATCGAATACAGCTCCAAATTTGCTATATGTTTTATGTTGGCTCACATAGTAACAATAGCAAGAAGAGAAATTTTACGGAGAGTAATTCATTCCGAAAGAGTTATGTAGCTGGTTCATGTGCAGCAGTTTTTATGATGTGAAATGTTGTGCAGAGGATCATAAGATGACCTGAACATCCATAAAATGCCTGTCTCATTATCATTGCATGGCGCTATCGCAAGATACGTGGGCAAATGGTGGCAATGAGTTCCGATTCGCGTAAAGCATCAGTTTCTGTGAGAATCGGAGGCTAAGGCTCAGGACAGTTTTTATTTTTCCTGAATTCCTGCCTCCTTCTACACGTAGTTTTGGAGGATGCACCGTATCTTGCGATAGCGCCCATACTATTTGTTTCGTCGTAAACAACGAATCAAACAGGCACCAGAATAGACATGCGTGTTGTATTGCTCTTTTAATATCTGATATTTTTGTTCAGATTGTGGGACTGTGTGAGGACAACTACGCCTTTGGTCCCCTGTTCCGCGTCCCAATTACGGTGATCAGCCCTGAAGGAAGTTTCAAGCGAAAATGATTATACATACGAACGTGAATTCGAAGCGCTTTCTGGGGAAGTGAACCGTCATTTCATAGCAGTACCTGCTGGTGCCAATGTTTGTGGTAAGTTTAAACTTCCTGTTGCAAATTTATCAATGGCCCAACGTGCTGAACAGTTAGAGGTCCAGCTTTCTAGAGGTTGTGGTCGAAAACGTGTCTCGGTCTTCGCCGAAGGAACGCTTTACGCTGCACTGTTTGCAGATTCAAGATGAAAAATGCTTCCGTAATTCTGAGACGTACAAGGTTGCCTTGATTTTTGTGGTTCTTCTGTCTTCATGATGTTTCTGTTGATGCTTTTCTTTAGCATCTTGGCCCGGATAGTTTCGAATGGAGACAGTTTGTTTCTGTAGTTGAAAATCGCACGCTAGAAATATGCCTTGTGCGCAGTTGGACACGTGGTCCTGAAGGAACGAATGTCAGGCTCTCCGCACGTTTTCACGGAATTAAAAGGGATCCCAACATCAATCTGGTATGATACTGCTAACTAATTTATGCTTTAGAACAGGCTCATTGAATCTCTAGTTACAATACCTTCCTAAAGACGCTTTTCTAGATACACGGTTCGCCATATGTTCCAATTAGAATTGAAGCAGCGCCATTCCGTCCTGTCGAAATTAGGCCGACAATTGGATTAACGTATGTTTAAACGCCTATTATTTATTGCGACGGCGAGTGGCGGGAGGGTCGCGTCTTCTCTTTGAAAAGTTGTTTTATAGTGCCTGGTACAACGCACATCATAAACGCACCTTTCGAGGAGACCAGGCTGCCCCACACGCGCCAGCGCTCCGTCTTGCTTTGAATTTTGATTATTTTATGAAAAGACATATTGTTGCGATCAGCAACACTTGGGCTGATCCAGGGAATTAGGAAACCCTACCTCTATGTAGATTTGCTACAGTGTACTCCCTCCGTCACTGGGATATTTCGTATTTGCCGTCTCAGTACCTCACATGGCTCTGGCTCCGAAAAGTCATCATCATTTCTTTTGATTGCTCCGATACTATGCACGTGTGTTGCAAAGTCCACAATTACGGGATGTATCGCCGAGGGACAAGTGTAAACGCTTTGCTGTAGCGTGGTGTGTAGCCCAAACCAACCGATTAACATATTGACCTTATAAGACGCGGTAACGCGTCTCACTTTGCGCACCTCGTTGGACGTTGAGACGCGGTTGCGCGTCTGGTCCCTTTTGCGAGAATTCTTCCCAATTTGCTTGTTTCTATTCTATGGATTACAACATAACATAACAGTAAACGACATGGGTCACGG